TATTCCTGGGGATATTTTAATTCAGTCCAGTCTTTTTTTTTATTTCTTCCTTGGATATTGTTATTTTCTTTTCTTCGAATCAGCCATAAGGTGGTGGTAAGTTCATAAATAAGACCCGTGAGTTGTTCTTCGCTTGTTAGAGAACCGTTCCAGAACAGTCTTTCTGGCTCCAGTGGATATCTTTTCTCAGCTTTAAAAAGAAATTGACCGCATTGCTTCGATGTAGGAAATATTGTGGAATCACCTCTTTTCTACGAGTTGCTTAAGGAGAGCATTTTCTGTGTGGCGTATATTGCCAGAATAGCGCTGAATTAATTGCCAGTGATTTCTTTTAAGATCAAGTTGATGTTTGTAAAACTCATAATGAGGAAGGAGACATTGGAAAATCTAACACTCACTGGACAGATTCAAGGCAAAGACAGAGGAAAATAGCGCATGATTTAGTGAGCTGAGTAAATTGATAAGCAGAAAAAGGGTTTCCAAGAAACAGCAGAAAGTTTACTAAAGGGCACGATCGCCTATGTCTTAGTTGGTTTGGTTTGGTTTGGTTTGTTTTACGACATATCAATCTCTATGGGTAAATTAATGACGAAAAAATTTAATTTGTTGGTAATATATTTTTTTTTTCAAAAATTTATTGCTGCTAATATTTTTCTTCCAAAACTGTATTGCTTGTAATATTTTTTTGTCTTCAAAAATTCACTGATTTGTAATAACTTTTTACAAAAATGTATTGCTGGTATTAAAACCTATTTTTTTACACTTTCATAATGTTTTGACCCCAGTTTGGTGGTCAACTATTTTTACATAGCTAGGACCCTAACAGGTGCTACCACTCCGTGTTAGGGTGGACCTGGGAACACCAGTAATTAAGAGGTTGTTCCACGCTTCTCAAAACTTGATCAGAGATCTTGCTGCTGGTTGTAGTATATAGTCTTACCCAGGACACTAGCCTATGTCCTGAGGGGACACAGTATATGAAGAAGAAGAATTTTAGACAGAGAGAGAGAGAGAGAGAGAGAGAGAGAGAGAGAGAGAGAAAAAGGTCGCTTTATTTTCTTAATGATTCTAAGATTTAGGTACAAAATTTCAATGATAATGTCTGTGTGTTCCAGCCTTTTATGACTGTCAGACTTTATTCTTTCGTTGCTGTTCGGCTAATGTGTTATTTCTTTTCCTCCTTGACTATTCCATTATACAATCTCAAATCATAGATTGTATTTCTCTCCATATCTCTTGCAGCTTATTTCTTTCTGAAACAGTAATTCTGGCGTGTGACTAGGACGGTTTACTTTCGCGCTTGTTACCGCCTTTAAATTCTCATCAGTTTGTAGGATTTACAAGAGCGATTTTTATATTTTTCTAAGAATTAGAATCGTACACTTTTGAAAAAGATCATGTATCAAGAAGCATAAAGGTCAGGAATTCAGATCAAACTTTTTTCTTTAAATAATTTTCTGAAATAATCTAATCCGATTAGAATTGGCTTCACTACACAAGGAAAAGATAAAATCTATGTAGCATAACAGGCATCTCTATCTATAAAAGGCAGGATGTGTATGTGTATGTGTATGTGTGTGTATGTGTGGCGAATGCACGGCCGCAATTTTCGACGGATTTGCACCAAAATTTACATGCACATGATCCAAGTTAGCGGGAATGCCAAGACCGAATTTGCATTTCCCAACTCCCATCGATAGTGGAAATAATCGATTTTTTCATGCTTCTACGGCAGTTTTCATGTAGTTTGCGGCCATTTTCTACTGGCCAGAGTGAGAGCCTATAGCTCGCCGCCACGAATAGGCAGGAAGATTCTATTGGCCAACGTGAGAGCCAACAGCTGACTGGCACGAATATTAACTAGCATTCGTCACAAGTGGGAAAAATTTAAATCTGCATGGAACTTTACTGCAATTGGCTCATTCACTTGCTTAAACTCAACGTTGATTCTGATTCCGCAGAACTGGGTTGGATGTGAAAAAGTATTTGTTGTTAACATTCTTTTTTCATTCGGTTTTTCCATCGTTTTGTGTTCATTTTGTTTAGTTCTTTCTTCGTAAGAGATTTAATGTTTAGTATAGAGCTTAGAAAAAATTCGCAGTGTGAGAGAGACAAGAAGTAAGGAATGTAGCAACATCAGCACGGCAAAGGGCACTCCTTTAAAGGCAAGGAAGGGCAAAAATATTTTTAGTCAAGTTATAGCGATTGCTGTATGAGTCGTACGATTTTTGAATCAAGCACGGGCAACGCCGGGCCATGCTGCTAGCCGATGCCTAAAATAAAACTGTCAATGTGGGATCCTATTGTAGTCGATATTTTTCATTCGAAAAAAATGCCCTTTGTTTCCATTCTAACACATTGGTTCCGAAACAGTGCAGTGCTCCTCATCATCTTGCGGCCTCAGCCGAGATTGAACTCACTAATACTTTGATTGGAGTAGTTCATAATGTTGTCAAATAGCTGAATTCTTGATGCTTCGCTAGGGCTATCAAGGGTGTTTTTATCGTGACACTAACACTAAATGGATTGCCAACCAAGGCTCAGAGAGACTCCATTCACCCTCCTCTAAGAGCAGGTTTGAATTCAGAGTTTTCCTTCTCCTAGACCAGTTGCCATCCAAGGCTATAGAACCCAGTCTGTCCTGCTATTTACCCATAGCTGGAGGGAGAAGAAAGAAGATTCACACCTTTCCCAAGGGTGTTAGAACGTAAGTGAATGTAATGGATTCGACTGGAATTCGAACTCGGCTCTCCGATTCCTCAATCCAAGCCGCTATCAATTACTCCACCGTGCTCCTCATCGCTGCAATGAAAGAGGATAGCAGGTGAGGCGGAATGATTGAAAGACAATCAAATACTTCGAAACAATTTTAAAAAGTTCATATGAAAATAAATATGATTTCAAAATTTCAAATATTATTATGGATCACATGTAATTACATATATGAGTCCCAGTGTAAATAGTTATAAATAATTATTCACTAATCTTATATGTTTGCATTATATTAAGTATTAAGAATATAGAAACTAGGGTCTGCAAATTGGAGGAGAGCGTTATCACTGATAATGTCCTGACTTCAAATCCGAGGTTATCGCCCTTTAACCCTATTTCTGGTATTTACTTTTTTTTATTTTTAAATGTACTTTTTATTATATAAAATTTGGTGAGGCGAGATCAATTTTTCTCGGAAAATGCGGCTCAGAGAAAAATGTCTAGCAAATGTGTTGAAAAGCAGAGTAACTCCCTTTATATTTGGAGAGCAGCCCAATGGAAAATCACTCCTTTCAGAATCAATCCCAGTATATAATGCCAGCTCATTGATAATAAATAAAAGAGAGACTTAGAGAGCGTCGATCTTCTATGTCCTAAAAGGATATGGGAAAAAAATTTACCCACAGAAATATCAAACCTAAAGTCACAATTACGGCAGGTATTTTTGCCCATTAAAACAGTCGTGTATCATTTCAGGGTGGGGGGCTCTGAATATGCGAACTTAACAAATAGCGAATTATTTCTAAGCTGTGTTGGATAGTGGCGTCTCTATAAAAGGTGGCAAACGCGTTTTTCTTGGGTATTCTTTTACTTTTGAGTTAAGCATAAACCGTTTATATATGTAATGATTCCGTTATCTTCAGACGTCTTTTACAATTATATATTCTTTTTTAGAATGACAGTGTAATCAGTAAGGATTTTTGAATGGGAGCAGCCATATCATGTTGAACACTAGTTCTTGTATGATCACCAAAGTTAAGCAAAGTCGAGCCTGGCTAGTATGTTAATGGGTGATTGCTGTAAACTTGGGTGGGTTGGTGATATAATGGATAAGGGTTTAAATAGGAGTTCCCATTCCAGACGATTTAATTATATTCCCTAACGTGCAAATTAATATATTCTTTTCTCTTTTAAAGATGATTATTTAAATCAAAATTACAGAAATACTCATTAAGACAAAGAACTAATATATTGAGTGTGTTGTTTTCTAAAACATCCCGTTTGTGTTTATTTAAATTCCTTGAGGTTACTCCAATGAATTCCCTTGTGACAATTTCAATTAGATTTCTCTACAATTTTTGTTCATATATAATAATTTCATATATCGTTTTCCCTTATATACATATATATATATATATATATATATATATATATATATATATATATATATATATATATATATATATATATATATATATATATATATATATATATATATAGCTAATATTAGTGATAAATATACATATACAAAATATATAAATATATATACGAAATGTATCTTTAATGTTTTAGACATCCGACAACATTCATGTTTCTCTCACTTAGACCTCTTCCACTCCCCTCTCTAAAACTTCTCTCTGTTAAGTTTTAATCTCCCATCTTCTCTCGTCTGTTTCCCCTCTCTTGAGTTCTAACATTCGTCCCACACTCTCATACTTACACTCTCTCTAAATTCTATTTTTATTTCCGGAGTTGTTTTTCTGTTTTCTTTTTGAATTTGTAGGTCTGATGAATTGGATTGTATTTCCGATTCCAATGGTATAAATTATGACCACTGAATATTAGTGTTTAAGCCTTTTTTATATATATATATATATATATATATATATATATATATATATATATATATATATATATATATATATATATATATATATCGTTTTCCCATATATATATATATATATATATATATATATATATTAGTTAGTACATATACTAGTACCTACGTGTTGACAGCTCGTCGGGCACAAGATATACGCTTCTTTATATTTTTTTGTTTGATTTATCTAGCCTAAAACTATATATATATATATATATATATATATGTGTGTGTGTGTGTGTGTGTGCTTATATATATTTGTGTGCGTGTGTGTGTGCGTGCCTGTGTGTGTGTGTTAGTACACAGAGAGAATGAGAGAGAGATGTAAACACACACACACACACACACATATATATATATATATAGAGAAACAGAGAAATATATAGAATGATAAATAGATGTGAGCCTATTAATAGATAGATAGATAGATAGATAGATAGATAGATAGATAGATAGATAATGTGATAATCTTATGATAGACGGATAATGTGATAATCTTATGATAGATAAATATGAGCATATTATGATATATATATATATATATATATATATATTGAGAGAGAGAGGGAGAGAGAGAGAGAGGGAGGGAGATGTCAGCATGTTAAGATAGATAGAAAGCCAGATATATCTATTCTTTCCAAGATATCGACAGTATGCAGACTATTTCGCTAAAGAAACCGTAAAGTCACGATTTCTATTCAACGTTTAAATTTCCCTACAATTTTTATATGCCTTACTCTTTCAATTTCTCTTTTACATTCCATTTTTTTCTATTTTGCTACCACTTTTGCTTCCGGCCCGCCACAACGGTTCCATGGGAGAAATCGCTCAGAGGCCTTCCTTGACTACGATAATTAAAAAGTCCCCACAACAGGATGTTGCAAACTAATGTTATTTATTCATATATTTTTGTTGGTGCTATTGAAAATTAGAATATATATATATATATATATATATATATATATATATATATATTTGTCTCATCCGTAGATTTTTCTTACAGTGTATAATTTCTTCTTGCTCTTAATTTTATTGTGTTTCGTTTCAGTGTTTTCATGTAGAAAATAGAATTCCGGCTTTGACGGAAAGAGGAGCTAAAAGGCAATGCAAAAAGTGAATGTCGTCCTTGTTTGATACGGAGTCTTTTAAATATGTTATTACAATTCAACGCCGCTGACAATATTTATCAAAAAATGAACTGAAATCTAAAATATCAAACGTTCTGGAACGTGACTGGATCTGTATTATGACTTACTATTTTACAAAGCCGTGACCTATTGACACAAAAGAACTTTTGCGGGAGACTGAGACTTTATCCCCCCCCCAAAAAAAAACAAAGTCGCATTTTTTTTAACACGGACATAAAGAGCACATTCTAATAGATCCAGTAGCATGTTCAGAACGTATTACGAGACGGAATTTAGTAAGATTACAATTAACTTCATTGCTTAAATAAAACTTTATGTAGCGTTTCTCCTCAGAACGTAGGCGAACGTGGCTCTCCACAATTTCCTATCCTTTGTAACTCTTAATAACTTTTGTCTGTTTGTTATTTCTCTTAAACTCTGTTCCGCCAACCATTTATTTAAACTCATCAAGCATTTGCTATTTTCCTATGTTTCTCTTCCCCTCAATCTGTCTTGTTAGTATCAGATTTTCCAAGCAACCTTTCCTCATTATGTCCCCAAGAAATTCTAACTTCTTTTTCTTGAGGTTAATTATAACTTTTCTTTTTGTCTCCATTTTGTTTTCTAAATCCTCATCGTTACTCACTTATTTGGTCCATGGTATCTTCATGATCCTTCTGTAGAAGTCTATTTCTGTTGTCTCAGGTCTCTTCCTCATCTTTGAGATGAGTGTCCAGCATCCATTGCCATATAAGAGGAGAGATGCCATGTAACAGTTCAGTACTTTTTTTATTTGTTTCGAACGATGTTTTTTTCTATTTCTTATTAATCTGCCTAGCTTCTTGAATCCAAATAATCTAAAACATCAAACATTCTGGAACGGCGCTGGATTCCCTAACTGTATTCTTATGACTTACTATTTTACAAAGCCGTGACCTATTGACACGAAAGAAAGTTTGTGACAGGCTGAGATTTTATCCAATAAAAGAAGTCACATGTTTTTTACACATACATATAAAGCATATTCTAATAAATCCTGTAGCATTTTCGGAACGTATTACGAGACGGAATTTAATAAGATTACAGTTAACTTCATTGCTTAAATAAAACTTTATTTCTGTTGTGTCAATCTCTTCCTCAGCTTTGAGGTCAGTGTCCAGCAAATCTTTGACATATAAGAGGACAGATGCCCCCGTAACAGTTCAGTACTCATTTTAAATGTTTTTTCTAAATCTTAATAATGTGCCTAACTTCGGAAATCCAAATTTGGCTATCACAATGCGTCTTCAGATTTCAGTGTCGCAATTTCTGACTTCTGTTAGAACACGCCCCAGATATTGAAATATTTGTACTTGAATACTGATTCCAAAAAGGTTTAAGAATCAGAGTAAAACGTAATCATCTGGCACCACATCTGGTGTTTACCACCGGGAGATCAACTGGCACCAAATTTCTTCAAATGTCTAAGACATTCCACTGTTTTATTTATTATTATCATCCTTATCATTCTATAAAAATCTTGGCTACCAGGAAGATACTGCCAGTTAAATCACAACACGGAACACAAACACTATTTTTCGGAGTATGCTTTACTGTTAGCAATGGGGCAGGTTTTTTTAACGTCCTTAAAGTACATTTGGCACCACATTCTTTGATATAGTCTTTAAACGTTAACGGGATAGTGTCAAGTGGCAAAATTACTACTGGAATTGTAATATTGTAAGTGTGACTTAGTTGTAGCACAAGGCCAGCAGTATATTGCACCCAGTGAGGATCGAACTCATTACTCTGTCGTAACTGATCTCGCGTGATAAGTTTGCTAACCATTACATAACGTCAGCACACTGCTATATGGCAGCAAGGTTTGGGCCATGTATGCCAGGCAAGAAAGGCGTCTGAGCACCTTTAACATGAGAAGCATCCACCGCATTCTGGAGATAGCGTGGCAGGACAGGGTGCCAAATGCTGAGGTCCTGCCTCAAGCAAGTCTGCCCAGCATGTACACACTGCGCAGACAGCGAAAACTCCGTTGGTTGGGCCACGTCCACCGCATGCCAGACGGCCGCATCTCCAAAGACCTCCTGTATAAGGAGCTGGCCTCTGGAAGAAGACTCGCCGGGCGGCCACAGATGCGGTACCTCGACGTCGTGAGGCGCGACATGAATGCTGTGGACATCAGCTCCTGGGAGAGCCTGGCAGCCATACGATCCAAGTGGAGAGGAACCTTGAGCAAACACTTCAAGTCAGGGGAAGAGAAGCTGACACAAGTGGTCACGGAAAGGCGGGCCCGCAGAAAGCAAAGTGACAGCTCCAACAGACCAGACACAGAACACACATGCGACCTCTGCAACAGAGATTGTCATGCTCACATCGGCATCTACAGTAACAGACGTCGATGCTCCAACCAAGTAAACAACTAGGATGCTACCCATGGTCAATACTGATCGACGGAGGCCTACTTGTCGAACATCTCAAACCTATACTCGGATGATTTTAACCCTTTTATCTGACATTATTCACAATCCGTCAATTTCAATCTTCAGTTCAGAGCAGTTTCTGATGTGTGGCTTTTGTCATGGGGGTAACAATATGGTTCTACAAACCTCAAGTACTCCCTTCTGCAGTCCTTGCTTTTTGTGTGTGTGTGTGTGTTTGTGTGTGTTTGCGTGCGTGTGTATATGTGTTTTCTTCTTTACCTGGAACTTCTCGCCAAGGATTGAGAGAAAGAAAGTTTCCTCAAACATCCAGCGCTCTCCTAAGTATTCTTTATCCGTATATTTGTTTGTTCATTTCAGTCTTCACACCGGTGGTATCAAGTCTCTTCAAATCTACAGGTACTCCTCTCTGTATTATTATTATTATTATTATTATTATTATTATTATTATTATTATTAATATAAATAATAAATAAAATTATCATTAATAATAAATAAATTTATTATTATTATTATTATTATTATTATTATTATTTATTATGATTAGTATTATTTGCACTATTTACATTATTCGGAACATTGTCCTCATCTTTGTCGCCATATAAAAAGAATACCCTCTCGGCCCGGTGGCTAGGATCAAAGTGTAGTATCTGCGCTTTGTGAGCTGCCGGGTCGGGTGTCTGTCGAACTCTCTGCTTGCAGAGAGGAACCCGGACGAAGCTCCGCCGAAGGGTAGGGTTTCGTTGGGGGAGGTTGACGGAACTGGCCCGCCTCGGTGGGTTTGGATGGTTATTTATTTTTGGCTGGGCCTACGGGCTCAGAGATACCCACTTTAAAAAGGCCTTGTGCCACATTCGATCCCCGTGGGTGGATTAATAAATACCATCTTTGTCGCCATATCTATTACAACGTTTCGGCCGTTGTACGATCCGCCCTTCTTCAGGTGGTTGGAATGTCGAACTGAACCCTTTATTTCGCTCACTGGGGTAGACTGTTCACAAGGACACATGGCACAGTGAATAAAGTTGGTTAGATCCAGTGACAGGATCCAAAGAGTGTGAGTTCAATACCCGGTTAAAACTTTCAGAGGGAAATTAACAGAAGATAACTGATAACTGACATCCATTAGACATGGCACGTGGAACTAGAACAGTCTACCCCAGAGAGCGAAATAAAAGGTTAAGTTCGACATTCCAACCACCTGAAGAAGGCCGGAGCGTACAATGGCGGAAACGTTGTAATAAATATGGCGAGAAAGATGAGGACAATAGTCCGAATAATGTAAATAATGTACATAATATCTCATCTCAGAAATATAGACAGTTAATATTATTTGTTATTATAAATAATAAATATATTATTAATAGTAAATACATTTATTATTATTATTTATTATCATTATTACTATTATTATTATTATTAGTAGTAGTAGTAGTAGTAGTAGTAGTAGTAGTAGCAGTCGTAGCAGTTAGTATTTATACATTTGAATCTTCCGGACAATAGTATCTGTCCTTTGGGATCGACTGACAGCAAGTCTCTAAGCATACGTTTCAGTATTCTCGATTAGTATTTACTTTACTTCAGCGATTTCTGATTTTCCTCCCGTTAAGAGTAAATTTCCGCAAGCCACAAATATTCTTTTTAGGGAGAACTAGATTATAAGAAGTTACAAATTAATGCAATCACGCCTGACAGAGTAAAGCCGTTCTCCTAGATAATGAGTGAAATAGAATGTACTATTTATCTTTTTACAATTAATCCGCCCATTTACAAAGAAAAGTTCCCCCGTCAAGTCTGAAATGAGTATTTGTCAAGTGTAAATTAAACACGCATAAATTATTCATCAAACAAAAGCTTAGAAATTGTATTTTCATTTGATTTGATTTTATTCAGCCAATGCTAATTTA